TTGTATAACTTAAATGTTTCTCACAATTATATCACATAAATGTTAAACCATAAAACCCATCTAACTTTTATTATTTTTTAAATACAACACCTAAAAGAATACTCCATTCGACTGAATGTATCAACAATGCATGCAACCATATGACGCTGTCTTGTAATACTCACTTCTGCTTTATAGTAATCTGTTTACAATGAATGTTTTATCACTGAATTCATCATTGCTTAGTTAATCTAAGTTAATTTAAGCGGCAGCCCGTAATGCTAGGCATAGTATAAGTGGCTTGAGGCATGCTGCTCTTAACTGTATTATTTTTGTACCTCATGTATGTGTGCTCAAAATTGTAAATAAATAAGCTAAATAAATAAATAAATAAATTTCGCTCTGAAGCACATAACACCCGAATAACGAACGGCTGGCACAAACTCGAACTGGCAAATATAAGTGGCTCTCACGAACCTCAACAAATGGGATACATCAACGCCTGTACATATAATATGTCAGGACCATTTTAGGAGTATACAGCACCATATGGAACCCTCATCCTTATAAAGTATGTCCCAAGGTGAAAAAAATCAAAGGTTTTGGCAGGCCAGTCCGAGGCTGAAGGGGCATCAGCTATGAGAAAATTATTAAAGAGATAAACCTAAAGGCGCTAGTGGACCAGAAGCATCCATAGATGACGTGATGACGTACCTAAAAGACGTCAAGAAGTGGAGTAACCTAGACAACGACGTGGTTTAACCTGGAGTTTACCTGAGAAGTTGCGGGTCAACGCCCCGCGCCCGGTCTGTGACCCAGGCCTCCTGGTTGATCAGCGCTGATCAACATGCTGTTCGCTTGGCTGGCTGCACGCAAACCAACGTATCGAGCCACAGCCCGGCTGATCAGGAACTGACCTTTAGGTTCTTGCGTCCATGCCAGCTTGAAGACTGCCAGGTCAGTTGTAATCTCCCTTAAGTTGCTGGGATGCAGTTGAACAGTCTCGTATCCCCTGGACACTTATTGTATGGTCCACTAACGTGTCAGTGACAATCCCCTGGCTTTTCATTGGGGGATGGAGCATCGACTGCCAAGTCTTTTGCATTCGTAGTGAGTGAATTGTGCCGTGGGCATGGGCGTAATAGTCCTCTAGGATTTTTCGCAGGTGTATATAATCAGTGTATCTCTCCCATCCCTGCGTTCAGGAATACAGGTCTTAGACACCTCAAGCGCTACCCAGTAATAGAGGCGTTTTATACTCTTGGCCGTTATTGGCGCGCCGTGAAAGTTTCTCTTGTAATTTTTCTAGGTCGGGGCAATTCATTCACCTTCTTGAAGGTGCTGTTAGAGTGCAGCATTATACCCAGCCTAGATAGTAGACAAGTGACCTGAAGAGTGTCATCATGGCTTGGCCTCCTAGTTTTGAAGGTTTCTCATTATCCATCCTGTCATTTTCTAGCAATGCATGATACAATGTTTATGGACCTTGAAGGTGAGAAATCCCTCCGTACATAGATCACTCCCTAGGTCTTGACTTGGTGTTTCGCCTCATTTTGTGGCCAAATTGGGTTGTACTCTGATGAAAGATTTAATTTCCCATGTTTACATATCTGAGTAAATTTAAATTTCTCACGTTGAACTTCTATATTGTTTTCTGTGCAGCCACTGGAAAAGATTTGGTGATTCCGCCTGAGTCCTTGCATGTCCTGCAATGAAGACACTGTCATGCAGATTCGGGTGTCATCTGCAAAGGAAGACACGGTGCTGTGGCTGACATCCTTGTCTATGTCGGATATGAGGATGAGGAACAAGATGGGAGCTAGTACTGTGCCTTGTGGAACAGAGCTTTCACCGTAGCTGCCTCGGACTTTACTCTGTTGACGACTACTCTCTGTGTTCTGTTAGTGAGGAAATTATAGATCCATCGACCAACTTTTCCTGTTATTCCTTTAGCGCGCATTTTGTGCGCTATTACGCCATGGTCACACTTGTCGATGCTTTTGCAAAGTCTGTATATATTACATCTGCATTCTTTTTGTCTTCTAGTGCATTAGGACCTTGTCGTAGTGATCCAGTAGTTGAGACAGACAGGAGCGACCTGTTCTAAACCCATGTTGCCCTGGGTTGTGTAACTGATGGGTTTCTAGATGGGTGGTGATCTTGCTTCTTAGGACCCTTTCAAAGATTTTTATGATATGGGATGTTAGTGCTATTGGTCTGTAGTTCTTTGCTGTTGCTTTACTGCCCCCTTTGTGGAGTGGGGCTATGTCTGTTGTTTTTAGTAACTGAGGGACGACCCCCGTGTCCATGCTCCCTCTCCATAGGATGGAAAAGGCTCGTGATAGGGGCTTCTTGCAGTTCTTGATGAACACAGAGTTCCATGAGTCTGGCCCTGGGGCAGAGTGCATGGGCATGTCATTTATTCGCCTGTTCGAAGTCATTTGGCGTCAGGATAACATCGGATAGGCTTGTGTTAATCAAATTTTGTGTGCTCTCTCATAAAAAATTCATTTTGATCTTCGACTCTCAGTCTGGTTAGCGGCTTGCTAAAAAACTGAGTCATATTGGGACTTGAGTAGCTCACTCATTTCCTTGCTGTCATCTGTGTAGGACCCATCTTGTTTAAGTAGGGGCCCAATACTGGACGTTGTTCTCGATTTTGATTTGGCATAGGAGAAGAAATACTTTGGGTTTCTTTCGATTTCATTTATGGCTTTTAGTTCTTCCCGCGATTCCTGACTCCTAAAGGATTCTTTTAGCTTAAGTTCGATGCTTGCTATTTCTCTGACCAGTGTCTCCCTGCGCATTTCTGATATATTGACCTCTTTTAGCCGCTCTGTTATTCTTTTCCGTCGCCTGTAAAGGGAGCGCCTGAATCTATACATAATTTTAAGAATAGGTATGATAGAGCTCACGTGACCAGGAGAGTGAACCCAGTAGTAGCCAGTAGAGAGGCGAAGTCAGAAGTGGACTCGACTCCTGCAACCACAAATAGGAGAGTATTTGGTGGAGGCATTTGTAAGGTTTCCTCTTGAAGACTTCTACACTTGTTCTGGCAGTGTTTTTGATATGTTCTGGCAAGACATTGATAAGTCTGGGACAACGGATGCTGATACAATGTTCTCTGACTGTGTCTATGGCGCTCCTGGTTTTCACTGGGTGTTTTATATTTCTTCCATATCTCTCACTCCAGTATGTTATTATGGCAGCGTGCAAATATTGGATTAGACCATCAAGTACTTTCCACACATATTATCATGTATCTATTTCTCATTTGCTCCATGAGTACATATTTACAACTTTGAAGCGTTAAAAATACAGTTTCCAGAAAGAAGAAATTCGGTTCTGTAATAATCCTGGAAGTTGAAATCCCAACAACATTTACTGCAACAGGAAAATAGAAATAGGCCTAACATCACCAGTGACCCTAATCATTATTATTATTATAATCAAGGGGGAAGCGCTAAACCCGGAGGATTATACAGCGCCTGTGTGGGGGGATGTGGAAGGCATTCAGGCTTAATTCGGGGAACTGGAGCACAGATCCAATTCCCTAAATCAAGAGCCCCTCACCAACATCAAGGAACCTTCCTTGAGGGAGACCCTAGAATCAAATCTGGGTCTTAATGAAATCTCAATACTGAGCGAAACGTAGTATAATTTAAGGCTAGCTCTGCATTACGTCTCTTTAAGTCGGACCTACTAAGGAACCAATGAACGGGTCATCATCACATGACTAAGACCCGCGTCACCAGACTTTCCCTGACGAAATATACACCACCATCACACCACCACCGCCGCCATCTCTAGTGACCTTGGAGTGGACAGAAAGCAAAGTTATGTTCGTACGAGTGTTATGTATGATTCACGAAATCGTAATAACACCCGTTATGTGATACGTATGACGTATGAGTGTTATGGATGGCTATATGAGTATTATGTATAAAAATATGAGTGCTATATATGATTGTATGGCTATTATATATGATTATTTGAGAATATTATGACTGTGCGTGTATGACTATATGAATGTTTATGTTTGAAAAAGTACTATGACTGTATGAATGATTCTGTGAGTTTTATATGTCTGTATATGTTATGTAAAAGTTACGTATTCCTCTATGAATGAATGTCATGTATGATTGTGAATGTTACGGCTGACTGTAAGACTGTTATGACTGAATTTATGAATATTGTGACTTATGTATAATTGACTGTACGAATGTTATGAATATTGTTATGAATGTTTAGAATGTTATAACTGACTATAAATGTTATATACAGTATATCTGAATGTTACAAACATGTTACAAACATGTTACAAACATGAGTGTTATGTATAACTGTATGCATTTTTTTTTTACACAGGGTTTGACAATGTTAAGGATCCCTAGCTTTATTGACAAGCTATTTACAGGTTAAGGATTCCTAACTTTATTGGCAAGCTAAGAGCTGTTATGAATGACTGTGTATGTTACGCTTGAATATTAATATCGTGTCTGGTGGACTATATGAGTGTTATGTATTGGTGAATGCATGAATGTTATGCATGATTATTTGATTACTATGTATGACTGATTGTTATGCATGACTGAATGTTATGTATGGCGTCTCATATCAACCGCTTGAGGAGTAAGGTTATTTTTTATTAGGTTGCGTTATTTTAGGTTGTGTTTCGTTAGGTCAAATTACGCTTCTTACATTTGCAAAACAAAATAATGTCCGTGACAAAAACAACGTAATATTGGACATTTTTAGGAATAAATCATGGCCAAACTCTCACAAAGATCGGATTCCCATAATTATCATATGAATGTTATGTAAGAGTATGTGAATGTTATGTAAGAATATGTGAATGTTTTGTACGTCTATATGAATGGCATGTATGAGTGAGTGTATGCTTGTTATGTTTGACTGGAGCGCACTTGTTACTGGGACGCTGGGATTGGTCAACCATATTCGTGACGTAATTTCATGAGATCTGTAGAAGAGTATAGATGCAGTGAGTGCCATTACACTCCATGTCGATACTGCGGTAAAGTATTCCTGGCACTATGTGCGCTGCGACAACACTCGTGATTCTCTTTCCCGTGGACAACGATGCTCTTCCGTCTTTTATGTTCGTCATTTCAGTGTTTATTATATTTTCGATCTTATGATGGTGACTTCTCTGTTGTCATTCTACTAAGGACCCTTTCCTCGTTATTTCTGTAATTATATGAGGTGTAGCACATAGCTCCAGTGGAAATGGATTGACTGTACGGTAGTATGGTAAGAGACACGTCTGTTCACATAGTCGTGTTGTCCAGATTCATGGCATTTATTCAAAGTCGTATGTCATCTCTGATAACTTATCTCTCGTATTAAACTGCTGTCTCAGGTTTGTAATTATTAGCTACCGTGCACTGTTATGGACTAATAGCAGTGCTATTAACAGTCGTTGAGCCAGTAAGGTTTTATCTAAGATATTAGGAAAGTTTTGGGGGGAATAGTTGCCATACCGTAGTGCTGGGTTACATTCATATATCAGGACCTTCATTAGTCGGAGTACAGTATTTCATTCTCAGTGGGATACCATACGTTTTTATCTCTTATCCCACATAGTTAACGGAAGCAGAGTAACCCTATTAGTGGCATTTTCCTTTGTGGTGAGTATTCCAAATTCATTTGCCAACTCCACACTGAAACGTTAAGATATTCTTTGATTTCATTAAGCCTCGCAGAAACAGATAACCATTTACGTATTTGAGGTATCCATTCTGCCCGGTTTTCATCAGCTTTAAGGAAATGATGAAATTTACTACTTCAGGACTCTCATATTTCCATTGTGAGGTCAGAGTGGGGGAGCTGAGTCTGACATTGTGTGTTGTGTAGGTCTTCATATATGTATACGTATATATAAATATGTGCTATCAGGATTATAAATTTTTTCTTGTGTGCCTGCTGTTCTAGAATTGAAAAACATCCTAAATACAGAGATACAGTACATGTTACAGGAAATAATTTTGATGTGATTTTTATAATATTTTAGCCTCCAAGTTATTTTTGTAGTTTTGTAGGTGAATTTTGGCTTTAACCACTCAGACCCAAGTGTAAGAGTGTAGTAGTTTTATTTTGCTATAAATGCTTAATGCTCGGTAAATTCCTAGTTTGGGAGAGACAGCTGTAGTATTATGTATTCAGAGCTCACCTGTCATGAAAGTACTGTAGCATGACTTATTTCAGTTTTGCAGTTTTGGAAAGAGACTGTACCAGCTCTAATTAAATGAGACCATGAGATGTGAAGAAACCTTGTAAAATTGTAAATAACTGGATTTGAGTAGCATGAATAAGTAATTACTTGAATAAACTTAACAAGTTGTTTGGGTTAAGGAAGGCTTGGTTAGAATGCAGTAAGAGTGTTCCACAAGTTAATGCCCTCCACCCAACTTCCCTGCTGGTGTTAAGCAGTGATTGCTGTCCAGCAAGTGGCAGCTGTCCCAGACACCAACAGAGACCATGCTATCAACCCCAGTAATTGTGAGTTATTGTCAAATCTTCAATAATATGTAGCTTCTAAGAATGTTGTTGTTATCTTGCATAAAAAGTACTTTGATAATACTTGATCTACATTTCTTACCTTTAACAGATATTAAACTTTTAGAATGTTATTGTAGTCTACATAAGCTATATAATGGAATAAAACATGGTAAGGAATGGTAAAATTCTAGTTTAGATGCTCTGCATTATGATTGGAGGTTTTGAATAGAATTTCAGAGTTCCTTATCATATTTTATTTCAATTCTGACAAGGATAAAAAAAAATTCCCATACATAGAGAGTGTAGTGCACACTTAGAAACTTAATGACAGTGGGACATTGTGAAAAAATTGACTTCTATGAAGCAAAAGCAGGAGTAATAGTGGAAGTTCAGGTGAATAGGCAGTAGGTGAAAAGTTCTGTACACTTCAGATGAGGAGGCCCAGTCATGTAGGTGGTGGCCATATGACCCTTGGCTAAGGTCTTCATCTTGAACCTGGAAAGAATCATCCAAACATTAAGAATCTTTTAGATAGAGGATGAGGCAAGGCTTTCCATTTTGTACCACAAGAAAAATTCAGACAAAACCTGGAAGAGGCATAAATGAGGGTGCATTGTTTTGAAGAGGAATAACTCTTGGCACGCTTGTGTGATGGACAGTTCTAGAGGATTGTCGAGGGTCTCTTAAGCAGTGTGCTTGAAAGGTATTGGAAGAGGCACACATGGAAAGAGCCCCTCCCGTTTCCAGGAAAGCTTTGGAAACCTTGAATGTGTACTGTGGTTCAACTGCAGGAGGAGCTCCTACGTGTCAACATAGGACAAAAGGGTTCTTTCCTAGTGAAAGAGGGGGTTGGTAGGTCCAAAATGTATATTTGAGAAAATTCTGTGTTCTGGCTGTGGAATGAAGAGTGACAGGAAGAAATGGTGGGAGAGTTTTATATAAATAATCCTAAACCAGAAAGGCTGGGAACTGGTGGTATGGAACCTTGTAAACATTAATGCATCGATTGGCAATGGCTGCCCTCAGTCATAGAATCAGGTTGTTAAGCATGACTTGTGCTGACACGAGAGAAGCCTGGAAAAGGGATATTTGGGGGGGTGGCCTTGGCATACAACTTATTGATAAAAAAAATAGTTGATGGGAGATTAGTGCATCATTTTCAGTGGAATAGAGAAGAATATTCTATTTTATGAAAGATGTATTAGTTAAAGGATGAATTTTTAATTTGCAATGAAGGCAGGATTGGGAACTTCCTGAGACTGAATACATTTCTTCTGAAACAACTTGTGGAAAGCTGAGTGGATATGGTAGTGGGTGTTAGTTGTGTGAAAATTGATAAAGAAGATGAAATCTGAGGAGAGGTTAGGTCATTAAGAATTGGCTCTGAGTAAACTTTTAAATGAGCAGGTAATATTCTTCATCAGGTGGCAGGAGAGTCTTAGCTGAAAGACATTCCACATTTCCTGGCACAGAAATGAAAAACAAGTAGGCATGTGAATGTTTGTCAGTAACTGCCAAAATTTTGCTTTGCTAGCTGATAGGAAGAAGAGGAGATACATATAACTAGGTATACTTAAACCTTCGATTTAACTGACTAATGGGGAAAAGCAGGTGGTCAGTAATGGTGATTGTGGTAAATAAAAGAAGAGGGTTATTTTGCTGTCATAGTAACTAGGGACAATTTGTAATTAGTGTATTTTATCCATTGTTTCCAAATTGGTGAATCCTGTGAATTTTGTCTTGTGTATCCAAAGTCCTTTAAATCCTGGTCCAGTAAAGTGAGGGTTAATGTAAGTTTATAAAAGGATATGAAAGAAAAGGTAAAAGAAAGAGGTTTTTATGCTATCATATGGCATAACAGAAGGCCACAGACATAAATTATGAAAAAGTTGAACCATAGGGATACTGGAGTTTTTTCATAAAGTAGAACGGTGGAAAATGGAATAAATTAAAAAAGTGAGGTAGTAGAGGCTACAACCATTGGATATTTATAAAAATCATATGATGAACATAATAAAGATTGGACACTGCATGCATAGGTCTGCTCCATTAGTTACAAATAGGTATAGTAATTATAATTAGGTAATTACCTGTGGTAATATCCTCAGAATTTGAGTGGGGATATGATATAATACCTGTTCAGCGGTATGATCCAAGCTAGTACAAATTTTAGTAATGTAGATATTCATCAATTTCTCAAATGAGGCAAAGGGGAGTAACTTCTATCCAACATGTGGTTGGATGATTGGTGGAACCAGTGAGCCACCACTAGCTACAAAATAGACAATACAAATGGATGAGTGGCAATTGCCATGTTGTTACCTATTTGTGTGAACACAGAGGCCCTTTTTTTAGGCTGGAGATAGCAATAACCTGGCTGATCCTTCAGCCAACAAGGAAGTCTTGCCATAGGCCAGGCTGTTGGAATAGAAAACTCCCAAGGTTAGTCACAGTTATGTCGTAAATAATTCTGAAGCATACAAATGACTTTATGTGGCCTCTCAATCAGTACAGATTAACTTTGAGTGAGTAATATGCTAAGAGGTGTAGGATAAACACAATTGAAAAGGGTAAAATAAGGGAACGACCCTGTTTCTAGCAGAGGTCCTAACAGCAAATGTAATAAATATTGTTGGAATAAAGGCAAATTGACAGGATCCTGTAGACAGTCCTGGATCAGCCATGTTGTGATGGCTATGTAGGCCTGCAGTCTGTAAGTAGCAACATTGGATAATATCAGCCACTTGGAAAGCTTAGCCTCTGATTGGGTTGCATGAGTAGACAAGCTTTTAGTTCTCTATAGATACTGGTAAACAGCAGGTAATGTGGATTATTGTTCTACACTGCTTCTGCTGCTGCTTTTTTTTGTTATAACTTTTTTCTTTTTTCTTTTTTTTTTCTCTTTTTTCCTATTTTGTTCTTTTTCTTTGATTTCTTCATTTTACTTCCTCCTTTTCTTCCTCTTTTTTTTTCTTTATTCTTTCCCACTACTACTGGATCTATATCTACATCATCATTATCATCAGTGTTTTTTTTTTTTTAACACACTGGCTGTCTCCCACAGAGGTAGGATGACCTGAAAAAGAAACACTTACCATCGTTCATACTATCACTTGTCTTGCCATAGGCGCGCAGATACAATAGTTCAGATGTCCCTCCAAACAGCAAATATCCCCACCCCTCCTTAAGATTGCAGGCACTGTACGTCCCTTCTCCAGGACTTGAGACTGGCTAGCTGGTTACCCTGAATCCCTTCACAAAACGTTACCTTGCTCACATTCCAACATCTTGTCAGGTCCCCAAAAGCCATTTGCCTCCACTCCCATCTAACATGCTCACACATGCCTGCTGGATGTCCACACTCTTTGCACACAAAACCTCCTTTACTCCCTCCCTCCATCCTCTCCTGTGATTATTCCTACCCTGCCTTCCTCTACTGCAGATTTATACACTCCAAGTCATCCTATTTTGCTTCTTCTCTAAATGACCAAACCATCTCAACAACCCCTCCTCAGCCCTCTGGATAATACTTTTAGTAACTTCACACCTCCTCCTAATCTCCAAACTACGAATACCCTGCATAGTATTTACATCACACATTGCCCACAGACACGACATCTCCACTGCCTCCAACCTCCTCCTCCCTGCAACATTCACGACCCATGCTTCACACACATATAAGAGTGTTGGAATCACTCTACTCTCATATATTCCCCTCTCTTTACCCCTGTGGATAACATACTTTGTCTCCACAGATGCATCATTGCACCACTCATTTTTCATTTCACCAGTGCTGTGGTTTACCTCATCTTTCATATACCTGTCTGCCCTTTCTGAAGTGTCCTTGTTTGTCTAAGGTTCTGCAGTGAAAGAGAATGAAGCCAAGTTAGTCATTTGTGAAAAGAATTTACGTAGACAAAATGGATGGAGGCTGCCTTAATTGCTGTCACTAACACCATCCCACAGAAACCTGGCAGGTTTGGTATACCTGAACTTTTAAAACATGGATGTTACTCTTTATGGAGACGGCTGTCATGTGATACCCACTTAATGTAAGAACAGAGGAGTGCTGCACCTGGCCTACTGGCCCATGCTAGGCAGGTTCTTTTTAAACTCATCCTGTCTTACTCATAACTTCACTAATGTTTCTCCACCCTCTTGCTACATGTCACGTGGCTCCTGCTGCCATATATGTTCCTCACTAAATTGTCTCTGTTTAGGGCTGAAGTAGCCACTTGTGGAAAAATGTTTCCCAGAACTGTCCCTAAGTGTCTTATCCACATCTTGTTGGTATCACCATAACCATATACTTCCTGATGGGAAGGTGAGAAATATTGTTGACTTGTTGTTTTTGTTAGTTCTTGTTCGGTTTGTTACTATCATATCAGACTTGGTTGAAATTGGTAGATTAAATTGGCTTTAATTGGGCAAAGGTATGTATTGCTCCAGTGCTCTGTTACATAATATAGACTTAGGGAAGGTATTGCAGATAAGATCATGACTGTTTTTCTGATAAGATATGAGATAAGTGACAGACATGGCTTTAGTTTTTCTGGTGAGTTGGTAATGTTCACATTACTATGAATACTAATCTGTAATGTTGATTAATATTTGAAAAAGAAAAAGTGAAGCATAAAATACTGTAGCTATTTAGTTTATATGTACATACAGTGGACTCCCGAGTTTTGTGATTAATCCGTTCCAGAGAGCCTGCTGAAAGTCGAAATTCATGAAACTCGAAACCATTTTCCCCATAAGAAATAATGGAAATAAAATTAATCCATTCCAGACACCCAAACATATTAAAATAAATTTTTTTTTTTCAAATTAAATAAAGATTTACATACTGAAAACAATCAGAAATCAAGTACAGTGGACCCTCAACCAGCGATATTAATCCGTTCCTGAGAGCTCATCGTTAATCAAAATAATCGTTAGTCAAGTTAATTTTCCCCATAAGAAATAATGGAAATTCAATTCAATTCAATTCAAAGTTTATT